AGAGATACGGAACAGAGTTTGATGGATAGGCTTGAAGGCCGGGTGATCGCTACGGTGGTTTCGGTCGGTGTGTTCGGTCGCAGATGGCGGTCAGTTCGTGTATACGCTGGGGTGAGCCTGTGCTAAAAGGTACAGTACACGATGTCAAAGCTAAGATATACCGTCGCTGAGCAGGCCCGTGCGCGACCATCCGCCGCTATGTCCGAACGTCCTCGATCATCTCTCCTCCCGTCCCTGGGCCGTATTGACCCTATCGCCTCCGCGTGCAGTCGTGGTCGAGGCCGAGATCCGTAGTTGCGATCCTGGTGAATAGGGGGTGCCGACGTGACAGAGAGGGGCTGGCGTCGTGATCCGGCGTCGAGGGCCAAGGAGGGGGAGTCGTCGAGGTCGTCGAGGTGGGAGATAAGAGCCCACCGCACCGCCACCGGGCGTTGGGTTGGCGAACAACCCGTGTGCGGGCGCGCGGAGTGCCGGGGCGTTACAACTTCGTCGCGCGTTACAATCAGCATTTTCCCCCGGTCTTACCTTCTGACTTGATGCATGTATCCATGCTCTGGTTTCGCTAATAGACGACTGGGAGGGAGTTCCATTCATTTCTTAAACTAAAGTCGGGGTGTAGCCCGCTGCCGGAAATTGCCGAGGCTGATTCCTTCGCTATGGCTGTGTTCCGTCTCGTGAATTTTTTTCTCTTTGTTGCATAACGTCCACCTCGTCCCTGCAATGAAGCTACCACGCCGAGTGCCGTGGTCCTCGCTGGCTGAAGTAGACGAAGTCTGCTCCTGGATTTACGCTGACGAGAATGACATCGACACGAAAATCCGTGCAATACAGAGAGTGAGATTGGATAGAAATTTATGTCCTGCCTCCTTGTGTGCTCATGCAGCTTAGTCTTAGTTATCTGCATGGAAAGCCATCACACCTCTCCCCCATGCGTTGGAATCGACTCTCGCCATATTGAGCGTTGTCGTCGAAGACAACTCGCCTTCGACGTCTTCGCGGTCGTCGCTTTTCTTGCGACAGGCGTATTCGGCCACTCTGATTCGCCTCGTGAATGGCTTGGTCGACCCGCTCCAACTCGGGGCGTATGCGCGATCGATCGCAAGCATCGCAGCGCAGCTAGGACTACCCGCGTGGTTGGTCGAGCTCCGTCATGCTGCTACGCACGAAGAGTTGCCAAGTATAGAAGTCCTTCGCGAGGGCGCGCGTCAGGTTTGTGTTCTTGCCCAGACCATGGGGGATCTCCTGATAACATCAATCGCGTAGTCTATGTCGTGGCTGCTACATAACTACTTCCTACCCATTCTCAACCCTTCGACGGCGGACCAGTCGACCCCGACCCTCCACCCTGTGCAACCCTTGCTGAAGCAGTACAAATCCTTATTGAAGATAACTACGCGAGATGCCTCTGTCGCTCTGCGCTTTCAGGGGCAGATCACGATCGTCCTGCGGAATATCGAACGGTGGTTGGGCGAGGCCAAGCTTGCTGCCCGGGCTTCCTCGGGCGACGTCTCTTGGGATATGAGCCGAAGTGACCAGACGGACCCCGACGACTCAGTTGATTACACGGAAAAGTGGGCTCTCGAGAGTCTGTGCGACAATCTCCTTGAAAAGGGCTTCCTAGTTCCGTTATCAAAGAAGTCGGTTCCTTCACAGCGGTGCCCCGAGTGTCAATGTTAACTCACGAATTATTCTCGTAGAAAACGGCTACTTCCGAAAGACAAGTTCGAACCGCCGGCGTCCTCTGTCGCGCTGTGGACGCCGCTTCTCAATTACTTGCAGCCGCTTCATCCCGCGTTGCCTTCCGTGCTCGTGTCACGCATCATCGATATACTCCTTCGCGGAGAGCTTGCAGATTCCACTGACACGGATGCAATTATCCCTGATGCCTCGTATCTTGCTATGTTAGCGCGATGGGCGGCTTGGTTGATCGAACGGCACGGGAACGATGGCGAGGATGGCTCCGCCACACTGCGGGAAGATGCGCTCGTCAGCCTTGCCAAGGGATTCTTAGTACAGGGTGATGTTTCTTCCAACCGTAAAGCGTAAGCGTCTTGATCAGCTCAAGGGCATACCCAGACTGACATCATCGATAGGGCAACTGTTCTCCTCGAGCACCTCCTAAACGCTGACCACCGGTTATCGGAGGCCGTGAAGCCTTTGATGGCCCTCACCAGAGTACAGTCCGATCTTTCGTCCGAGGTTCGTTGCAGTCGCTCTTTGAGACTTCCTCCCTTCGTCTCCGGGACCTAGGGTTTTCTATTATGATGAGAACATTTACAGACCTGTACCGATTTCTCCTTTCGGCGAAATAAGCGGACAACGTATATTGCCTTTTTTCCTGATTATCTATCATAGGCTGTTGCACGTTTCGATACCAGCTTGCTGACGCATCTCATCATAGTGGACCTCAACCGACGTCGCTACTATGCAGTCAAGATTGAATGTATTGTTGGCTGTTACGGACGCGTCTCGGCTTTCTGGAGATATTGTGGCCGACGAGGGATCGTCTGCTCAGGATGCCGCCAGTCTTGAAGCTACCGGCGCCGATGCTCATATGGCAACGGATGTGGATCAGCGGCTGCCGCCAGGGTGGCGAAGGTTGGATGCGCGCCAGGGATGGAGGGCGTCGCCGATTGGGGTGTTCGTGGTTGCAAGCGGTTGACGGCGCTGATTTCGCTATCTATATCCGCTGTGATTTTCGCTACTTAGCAATTGTATCATTGCGTGCAGGTTGATTCCCTCTTTGCGATCGTGGCCCGGAAATGATACATTACAATTGCGGCAGATTAAACAGATTACAATGGCACTCGCATGGCACTCGCAACCAACAGCGCCGCCTCACACTGCATCTGCAATGAGCCTGTCCGGCGTCTCAACCCATCCCCTCCAGCACTCCACAAACGCGGCCAGCTCGGCGCCTTCCACCACTCTATGGTCCGCGCTCCAGCTTACGCCGACCTTGAGCCTTCTTTCGCCACTCCCATCTCCGCTATTCACATCCCATACCCATTTAGCTCGACCGATTGCCACGATAGCGACGCCCCCACCGGGAACAAGGACGGGGGAAGCGAAGTCGCCTTGCCCGATGGCGCCTACATTGGAAACCGTGATCGTACCCCCTCGCTTTGGCATTTCCTTGGGCGTGAGCGCGCATGGGACTTGGCGGCCGAGATGGGAAATGTGCGCCACACGAGACGCAATATCGTACACGGATGAGGACTCTACACCAGTAAGGGTCGGTGTGTACAATCCCGTCGGGGTGGAAAGGGCCAGGGAGATGTCGGAGCTTGGTCTCAGCGTCATGGTCCTCTTCGAGGACGACGGGTCATCGGGGCCAGCTGGAGTAATGGATGAACGAAAGAGGGGCCATTCCATCATTGCACGAGAAAGTGTCTTCAGGAACACCGGGAGGTAGGTTAATCGTGCGTAACGAGCTGTCTCTGGTGTCTGTGGTATTGGAGAGGCAGCATAAAAAGCGTTTGGCGAGACCAGCGGAGGTCGTGAAGGTGTGGACGAGAGAGGCAGGTAATATTCTGGTATGCTGGCGTTAAGCAACGGCAGCAAACTGTGTAACCGAGTGATGTCAAGCGTCGTGGAGTACCTATGATTTGAACATCAGATTGCAGGTTCAAGGGTGCAAACCTCCGACGTACCCGAAATGAGGAATGTACAAGCTCTGGAAGTAGGGTCAGATCGAGTCGATGACAAACGGGCATACAAGGCGCACGAATCGTACCTTCTCCATCGCTTTCCACATTCCCCACCGCGTCCGACCAAGTTCAACAATTGTATCCTCTCCCTTCTTCGGTGCAGCTCCCGTACTAGGTGACGCGGACGCTCGTGCTAAGTGAGCGTCGATGTCCGACCGTTCGATGCGACCGTCCCGCCCGCTCCCAGGAGCAAGCTCGGTGAGATCAACCCCAAGTCTACGCGCAAGGTGTCGCATAGCGGGCGTCGCCAGTACCTCTGACCTGTTCGCAGGAGGGCGTCGTCTGCTAGGTGGTTGCTGGGAGTGATCAGGAACATAGTTGGGATCGAGCGGGTGCCGTCGACGAGGGAAGGATTCCGCTGGACTAAAGGACGGCGTTTCGTGAGTGGCGGTTGACTTCTCTTCTGGAGTCGCAAGCCCTTCATATTGTACGTGTGATAGTGAAGTCGCACTTGAAGAATCCTTGGCCAGTCCAGGTTCAGGCGTGGAATCCTCCTCTTCTTCTACTTCGATGATGCAGAGTCCTTCGCCCACTTTGGCCACCGCGCCTTCTTCGACAAGGAGCTCCTTCAATACACCGTCGAAAGGCGAGGTGATCTCCACGCTGGCTTTGTCCGACTGCACTTCGCATAGTTGATCAAAAGCCTGCACTGTCGCAGGGGGCTTCAGGTTCCTGCATGTTGATGATGAGCCATCCGTGTATCAAACATGTTCTACAAAGATAGAGCTCGCACCACTTCACAATCTCGCACTCCGTGATCCCTTCACCGATGTCGGCGAGCTTGAATTTCTGAAGAACCTTGCGTGAGCTAAGGTATGGCGCGGAGCAGCTGAAGTTTGAGGAACATCCTGCGACCCGCCCGTATCGCCAGCATACGTGTGGCCGGAGTCTACGACAAAGAAGCATCTAAACTATCCAGGCAATAGTAGCGTCGGGTTAACTAGTAGAGCGGATGTGAGGTGCAGATCAAGGCTCGAAGGAAATGCGGGGTAAAGAAGCGGTTTCTCGGAACGGATCTTGGAATTTGCTGATCGATATTCAAATTCACTGATGAGTTCATGCGAGGGTGTCATTCATGAATTGTCTGGCGTTATGTAGCAGTAGTCGGCTAAGACTTCTCATGGACAGGGATTTACATGGCTCGTGCAATGAAAGATTATGGAGGGAAAAAGGGATGGATGGTTCTGCATGGTTTAGGAAAGGGACATTGGGAACAGCAACTAATTACACGAAAGGCGTGAACTGCTAGTGTTACAAATATCGAGGGGAAAGACGTATCATCGTGAATTTGGATGAAATCTATACCCCTCCAATGTGATGGAGGGAAGTATGATCTATTTTCAACCTCCAAGCGTGACAGCGGTGCAACCGATGGAAACGACTCCGTCGTTCTGTGAACAATGTCAATCATAGTTTGCACAATTCGAGGGGATCACGTACGAGTGTACCGTCACAGCACGCGGGAGTGTTATCACAAGTACCGTCGGTGGTGAGCGCGGTGCACCCAAGGCCGACATCTTGGGAAGACGTCAAAGTGACGTCGATGGACGCGAGAGCATTGGTAGCATCAGTGCTATCAGCCTGTAGAAGCATCAATACAGGCGTCGATCGCGGAAGATTGTGACTAACAGGAGTAAGCTCGTTGCAGCAAAGGAGTTGACCGGTGGTGCATGTATCGGCCGTGGCCGTCACGACGCCCGAAGGAGATTGCCTCTTGGCAGCTGCACAAACGACCGTCAGCGAGATCCGAAGTCTTCACCTGACTCATTGCGTACCGGAGACACGGGTAGGGGCGTAGAGCTTGCGAGGAGCACGGGGCGGCAGGCCGCGCTTGAGAAGCTCAGCGTTGGTGGGGGTGCCGACAGCGCCAGCCGAGACGGAAGCCACGATGGCGAGGAACATCGAAAGAGCAAATGCCGACTTCATTGTAAGTGTGAAGAGGTGTCGTTGGGTGGTCGCTGATGTGGCTGGAGGTCAAGGCTAGTCGACTGAAGACTGTCAGTAGAGGGATGAGCTCTTTATACGTTCTCGTCGTCCATGACGCGGTCGACAGCAAACGAAATTCGCCCAGAGGTAGCGCTCCTAAAGCTGAACAGTCTAGACCGCATGGAGCGAGAGAGCGGGACTTCCAAGCGTCCAAGCTCCTGACTCCGCGAGCAGTGAGTGTTTTTCCTGTCCAAAGCAGGGAGCCGTCGTTTTTTGAAGATGCAAAGAAATGCCGCCGATCAACGCTGTGCGGTGGACGCGGCGATGTGCCTGGTAGATCAGGGTCAAGAAAACCGACGTCCGGAGCAGATCCAGCGGACCACTACGAATGGGGAATGCCAGCCTCGGGAACGCCCGCATCCGCGAGGTGATGCGTTCATGGAGATACAAAACCGACGGATATGATCGTCGAGTTTCTGGGCGCCCTCAACGGAACAAATTGATCTGGAAAGCCACTCCCATCTACCAGGCACCGAGTAAGTCTTCGGCGGTACCGGGGAGAAGTAGGGGGAGAAGATAGGGGTCGCATCATCCTCGTCCTCCGAGTCGTAGCTGAGATCGTCTGCAGGAGTCGGTCTCAATCCTGTGCGCGCGTACAGTACTGCCACAAATTCGATCCCCTCTAGCTTGTGTAAAGAATGCGGATGGTCAAAACGACGTTGGCCTTCCTCGAGGTCGATCTCGTCGTCTTCGTCCTCCGGGTATGTGGAGGAGGTTCGGCACAATGCGATGCTTTGCTCGGAAACGGTCATCCAATGTCATCCCTGGAGGTAGCCTGGTCGACCTTGGTGTAGTTTCGGGCAAACCTCAACCAGGTCATGGAGGGAAGGAGGCCATGTATGATGTTGAGGAGTTCGATACCAGCGCATATTCTTGTACACTAGCGGAGGTATGTGTAGTATATGCAAAACCCCGGCGGCATATAGGATAGATAATCGCGATGGGAAGGAACAGGACGCGACTTTGGGTTTGCTCAGGTCTGTGACAAAGGACGGGAGTACGGATGAGTCATCATACCGCAACTCACCACCTCTGCCTACCCCTGGACGCAGACCACCCTACTAGTATCATCTCGAGTTCACACACAACAGAACTCGTTTCCCTCCTGTTTACAAAACTGAGTGGAATATTGGTACTTAAAGCCCATATGCACCACTCCTACTGGCTGAGGTGTCTAATCATATCAAAAGCAGACTGAAACACTTCCCACTTCTGTGGTAAAAGAACTCAGCTTCGGCACCGACTGGATTGACTCAGGACGCGTGCGACGGCGACATGCCACGTCCTACTCGCAGGCGCGCTTTACGCATGCATGATTTGACCATAATTTCAACATTCGACTCATGCTTATTGAACGACCACGGGAGAAGCCTGGGGTAGCGCGTCCAGAGACGTAGTCTTAAGCCCTGGAAAACATCAACGTGGGGGCCAGCAACCTAGTGTCTTTTCATCCCCATCTTCACCTGAGGACCGCGCCAATGTCTCCATCGCCCAAAACGCTCATCTACTCGCGCGTCGGTGACCTGGAGATCAAGATTGACGTTTATGTCCCAGAAACGACGGGCGAGGCGCCGATTGTCCTCTGGTATCATGGTGGCGGCCTCACCAGTGGTTCGCGTGATGATGACCTGCTACCCACCTGGCTCCTCGGTGAGTCTTGATATCCCCAAAGCCCACGAGAACGTCTATGATCTCATAATCCGCCCTCAGACGCTTCCCTTGCGCGCAGGTGGATTTTCGTCTCCGCCGACTACCGCCTTCTGGTCCCCTGCACAGGGCACGACGAGTTAGACGACATTCGCGCGCTCTCCTCGTTCCTCAGCTCGGACGTCTTCCGCGCCGCGCTCCCTGCGGGCCTCACCCCCTCCGGCGCGACACTCGTATCCGGCGGCTCCGCAGGCTCTTACATGGCGCTCCAATACGCGCTTCACGCCTCGCCCAAACCGAAAGCCGTCCTCAACCTCTTCGGTATGGTCGACCTCCTCGCGCCACACCAACTCCTCGGCCGCTCGGGCGGTATCCGGTTCTTCGGCGGCTTCCGCGCTTCCTTCCCCGGGCTCGACTCGCTCCTCGCGAACGCGACGCCGTGCGCAGAGTCCGCCGTGCGCGCACCCTCCTTCACCTGCGCGGACGGCCGACACCATCTCACGATGCACAAGACCCAGAACGGGCTCGCCACGGACTACCTCACGGGCCGTCCGGGCTTTGGTCGCGCACTGGCGCAGCTCCCGACGCTCGACGCGCGTGTCGCCGCGCTGGACGACCGCGACCGCGTATTGTTCCCGCTCATACGCGCGCATGAGCTCCCGCCGACGATTTCGGTGCACGGCACGGAAGACTCCGCGGTGCCCCTGAGCGACAGCGAACATTTGAAGAAGCTGTTAGATGAGGCTGGGATCAAGAACGAGTTGATTCCGGTGCCGGGTGCGGAGCACGGACTACTGACGATCGACCTTAAGGCGGAGGCGGATGGGGTGCCTGAGGCATATGCACGATCGCTGGACTTCCTTGAGAGCTGTCTCTGAAATACTGTAATAACCATTGTGTAAGTAAGTACTCAACGCCACCACTCAGATCCAACAAGCGTTTGCGACCAGAACATCCGAGTGACACACCGCAGGACTCGCTTTGTAACGACGGAATGCAAACATACGCTTGCCAAGCGACGCTGCTCATATTGTTTTTGCCTCTTGCAAAGTACTCAGCTATAATAGTAGCGCACAATCTCTGGGGGGCCGATCGAACACCGTTCTAATAGATGTCCTCGGTCCCGATGTCCCCAGGTGACCTTCATATTGTATTGAATCTTTGGAAACTTGGACTACTGGTGCCTAGGCCTGTTGCGTCTCCCTTGGGAGGCTTACTTAAGATCCCATAATCCAATGCCACCCACGGCCATCCGAGGCTATTATCCGAGGCTATTCCGCCTTGCTCAAGGCACAACGTATTCATCGCTCGCCAGCTTGGTGTCCACATACATTCTAGGCCTGCATATGACGTGATTTCCCTGTGAACGGCTTTGATTCATGACGGCCTCCTAGCAGCGCGCGTTGGGTCTAGTGGTCCGACGCAATGGCATATCAAGGACTTAATACAACTTGCCGCTAGGGCGGTATCCCAGCTTCATCACCATTCTACATATATAATGAGGGGAGAGATAACAGAGGACCCTGGGATCAACACCACAGCGGACGGGTATGTTCCCGCATACACTGGAAAACTGGAAGAAAACCCAAACATGAAGCGAAAAGTCACAACTCAATGGGACAGGGTGCTATCGCTTTATATCTTCGCCTTCAGGATGTCTTCCTCTTTCATAAGGCGTAGATCGTCCTTTACGGTCTCCAGGAACTTATCTTTGAGCTGATGCTTAATGCGGAAAAATACTCGGGCACTTCCTGTATGCATCATGTCAGTCAGTCGTCATCATGAGGCTCCCAACCACGACGCACCATTGTTCGCCTCCCAAACCCCTTGAGCGTTCTTCGTCGGGTTACCGGGCCAGATACGGAAATAGCGCTCAAATGACCCGTACGAATGGAAACGCGCTTTGCCGGGATATCCGAAATGGCAATCGGTCGCCGGTGCGCTAACGTTCTATGATTAACGCATGGGATGCGGTAACAAACAGTCTTCACATACCGATACAGGTTATTGACCGCCACCCCGCCCTCCCATGGAAACCACCACTGGCAACGATTCGCGTTCGAGCTGCGAGTGTACAACTCCTCGGAGATAGCTACGACCCGCCGGCAGTAAT